GCATTGGAAGGGAGCGCGATGGAGACATTCATTTCCCCAGAATAGGTAGTGTAACAAATCAATCCTGACTGCATTGATAAATTGAACTTCAAGCTTGGTGATACTGCTTTTCAGGTCTAATCCAGTGTAAGACATAGCAGGAAGGAAAGGCAAAGGTGCTCGTTAGCATTTCATTCCGCAAGGAGCTGCTCCCTGAGCAGGGAAGACAAAAAATAAAGATCATCTTTTCCCCTTTTTTTTCAGCACAGCACTGCAACTATTTTTGAGGAAGGTGACATGGGATTCATGGGTATGTGCAGGAGCGCGTGTGCAGAAGAACTACCCGACAATTGCTGGCTTCTTGCCAAGCCCCAAACCTTGGGACAGGATCATAACTTGAGCTCCTGGATGCCAGTGAGAAAGAAGTGTTGCTTATGGGAAAAGTCTGGCTCACAGCAGTATGGGGATTACAGAGCAGCAATGCTCTGGTACACAAGGGGAAGAGGAGCTAAGGGGCTGGGCTTCAGGAGGCTGAGGTTCAGATAAAGTTTTGACTACAGAGCCCCAGGCTGAACACAGACCGATCACTCCCCCTGGGCACTGCAGAGGTACTTCTTTTTCTAAGCAGACAAGTCCTGCTCTCCCGGTCACGCAGCAGCCAGCACCCTGGGGACCTGACCTTCCTCCCCTCAGTACTGTGGCACTGTAAATAATAACAAAGGTGTGGGGGGGTTGCCCTTAGCTTTTCTGAATGTGGATGTAAACATCACACCTGTTGGAAACTCCAGCTTTTCACTCCTCTTCCACATTGGAGCACAGGGTTGCACTCAGCCAGTCCAGCAGAACTAATGTTGGGAGAAAAATCTCCACAGCCCTCCATCTTTGGGCAGAAAGCTTGAAATATCAGCCTGAAAATGCACAAAGGAAATAAAGAAAGACTTAAGGTTTGCAAATTTTGAAATCCCATTGTTTTAATTGAGTGTCCTGGTGGGGTTGCAGGACTGGAGAGGGGGTGAGCGAGGACTGGTGGACACTCGGATTTGGCAGTGGCTTTGACTCCATTGTCTCTTCATTTCCATCACTGCCCTGTGCAAAGGCCTGTGCTACTGGGACACCTTGTACCCGCTCTGCTCAGTGGCCAGCCTTTGGGCACTGCCTGCCCTCAGAAACAGACTTTTCCTTCCAAAAGCTTCAAAGTCCCCATTTTTATGGCTCCAGTGCAATTACAACTTGCCCTTTAGAAATGCCTTTTGTGGGTCATGGAGTTAAGATTACATGTACTGCTTAATAATTAAAAACAAAGCAGCATTATTCATTCTACACAGAACATCTCATGGTATGGTCAAAGTCCACTGGCACAGCTTGGTCAGGCACGATGGTGGTTTGTGCAGTAGCCCCTTACATGAATATAATACCTCCCAACAAAGGACTGTAACATGCTTTTAGGTAAGGCAGGAGTCTTGTTGGCCCCACTGTAAAATTGGCGAAAAGGAGAGATGTGACCCTTCAGGCAGAGAACTACGCTGCAGTATCTCAACAGCATGTAGACCTTCAAATTTTAATTGATTACCCAGAAAGAAATACAGATAGGCAGAAATACTCAATCTCAAACCTGGACCAGCTTGGTATCTCTCCAATGGTGGTCAACCCTAGCTGTCCAAGGGCAAGAGCCCCATGATCTTGGAGTGATTTGCCTTGGGGTAATTTGTTCCCAGGGGACAGCTCTTCCCCTTTTGTCTGAAGCCAGGTGTCAGGTCTGTGCCACAGCTCTTCACAGAGGCCATGATCGCTCCAGCCATGCTTGCCATTCCTGTAAGTCTTAGTCCCTTTTTGAATCCTATTAGGCTTGAGGGTAGAGCCTGTCCTGTTGCCATCTGGACAGAAGACCTGACCATGCAGAATGCATGCAGTGAGGCTGACAGGTACCTGCTGTACCCCAACTGCATACTAAATATGTGCACCAGCTATATCCAGGAAACATGAAATACCTCCAGTTGTGTGTTTGTATCTTGTGGCAATAAGCTCTAGCTGAATATTTTGTTTGCAAAGGGTTGATTAGTTCCTTTCAATTTCATCTCAGTCTTACTTGTTACAGTATACTTCATCATCCAGCTCCTCTTCACACTCCAACCATTATTTGCTATTCTTGTTATTTGCACCCGCCTTTTCCAAAAAGGACCTTTATTAGCAATACTAGTCTCAAGCTGCAGCCCCACTTTTCTTTCATTTCTGCTAGAGCAATACCACCCACTGCAAAGCTCAGCATCTCTATAAACGCTGTGGTTACAAGCGAATGCATCCTTCAGCAGCCTTTTAGACCATTTTTTCTACAATACACATTGTAAATGAGGAGTAATATATCTTCAGAATTGCCCAGAAAACGTTATTCTTTTAGCAATATAAAAGCCTCACAGTGTCCGAGTAGGTGCCCTTGCCAAAAACATTTTATTGTGAGCCAGATAATTCAGTTTGAATTGTACACGGTTTGGTATAATCATTCCAGTAAAGCATTCTTTACAATTCTGTAACAGCAAGTCACATGGCTCAATAAAGTTTATTGCTGCAAATGCTTAGTGATTCATGGCATGGATGAATTCTGTTTCTTTCCTGGATCAAGTAATCAATAGCAAAATAATCTCCCTGCAATTACATTGCTCTGCATTAAAGAGGTGTGAAGTAAATAAGTACAAAATCTGATATAAAAAAACAATGTGTACAACATTAAAATGAACTGCAATTTGAAACTGTGGTGTCCTGCACCACAGTTTTGCACAGCCTGTGGCAGAGCTATGCTCAGCATACTCCTAGCCTTTAATGATTCTTGCTCAGCTGGTTACACATACTGTGCAACAAACCCAGTTGGGACTGACAGATTTTCATCCCATCATGTCCAGCAGAGTCCTGCTGTGAACACTCTGCACTCACACAGACCCCCCAGCCATCCCTGTGGGTGCCAGGGACCATCTTTTTCCAAGTGCACTGAAAAAGTAAGACCTACGCTCTCTCAATCAACCTTTTCGGTTCTTCTAGTGCTGCTCTTGCACACAGTAAATCAGTGTTTATAATATCCCCCACTGAGCTGAGTGCAAATTAAATCAGGCTAATTTAGTTTGCACTATCGTGTTCAGCTGTGAGTCACAAAAGAAAACAGAGGCATGACAGTTGGGAGAGGGCATGTGCTTTGTGATGGGAGCTGCTAATAGAGGCCCTTCGGGAGCTCAGCAGGATGGCAGTGCTGCAACACCGCTGCTCAAGGGTCCTGGATGTCCCAGCTCCCTCTAACCTTCGCAGATCTGAACCCTGTGGCTCCAGTGACACCACAGTAGACAACAGATATATCATCTGTAATAAAGCACAAACGCAGCTATCTATTTATGTGGTTCTAACAGTTTTCTCATAAAAACAGTATGAAAATGATACTGTTTAGAAACAGACTGTTCTGGGGAATAAAGTGCACACTGTTGTTTTTACTGTTTAACGCCTCCTGACTGAGAACACTTATACATGATGGGGTTTCTCTCTAAATATGCTTATGCTGTTGCACAGGCTTCAATGCAGCAGTAAGCACATACCTGAGCTCAGTCTTCTGCTCGTGTTTACTTTCTTACCCACAGTCCACCTCATTCCTGAATCTCATACACACTCTAAAAGGATATTTATGAGATTAAGCACCTAAAAAGTCACAAAAAGCCAGAGGGAAGGCTGCCTATGCAAGCTTAATATAACTCCTTCCTACAAAGAGATTAGAGTATGGTCTTTCATTGTATGTTCATTCCCATGGAAGCTCTGTTTCAGTACTCAGACTAGGCTCTGCACTGGAAAAAAGCCACAATTGTGCTGTCCACAGGACTGGGGGGGGCAGGCAGGAATAGAAGCAACAACCTGTAACAGGCACTTAGCATGGACACTTCCAGCCCAATTAAATAAATGGTAAGAAAGTGAAAAAGGATCCTACAGACAGATGCAGCAAGCAACTCTAGCACAGAGTTTGATGTGAATAGTCCCACTTATAACATGTTCTCTAACACTGTTCACAGCTACGCACCCAGTTTCCACTATTTAATTAGCTGCAACCTACATGTGCCTGCATTGTTTAAAGGCACACACACACATGCTCTCTCATCCTGCTTTATAAAAGTAACTGACAAACATCCAAATGTTTTACCAGACTGCTCCTGTATCATGCTACAGAGAACATCTATTCCCTGCCAATCTCCGGTGACTTAAAGACAATATGGGTTCAGTTTACTTATCACTGTACTGTACTTTTCAATCTGCAGAGAAAACCCACTGCCTTTCTGAAATAAATACACAGACATCACAGCCTCCATCCACAATAAAGAGCTGGAGGCCTGGCTCATTGCTTGGTCAAATCAACTTAGATTCACTTCAATAGGGCTATGCTGACTTATAAAAGCAAAAGAGATGGTTTGAATGCTTGCAAATCATCTTTCCAAGTCGTGGCTAGGGAAGAGTGTTCATTCAGAGAGTCCCCACCCCTTCTTCCCCACAAGTACACAGACTCCTGCCCTCTACCATGGGCCTAGCAGCTGCAGAACTGGGATTTCCTCTATTAGGTGACAAGCCCCTCAGGGCAGGGGCCATTTCTCTCCCAGGCTCAAGAGCCCCATCACCAAGCACAGCCTCTGGGCACTACCACAATGTATGCCATCCTATAATAGTGACAGCATAACACCAGCATTAAGTAGGTGACCCCAGTGACTCAGCCACCGCACTCCATGGTGTCACACTGTGCACTTGTAGTGGTTGGCATCCAGCAGTCTCTTCTCAGAAAGGTTGTCTGAAGTGAAGGAGGACTCAAAATAAGTACATTAATTAGCAAAACTTCAATTCACCAAGTCTGTCATTATTAGGTCAAGTCTGCTTGAGGCGAAGACTTTTCATATGAGGGAAATTGCAGGGCTGAGCCCAGAGAGTCCAGTGTGCGCAGAAAGTTGATACAAAGCAGCCTTCGTCATCCTGGTACAGGTCTGTGTTGTCCCCTCCTCTACAGCATTGCTTCAGGAATACAGTGTCATCATCATCCACTGTAAAATAATGGGGAAAGTGGGTTGAACTCATCCATCCCTGTGAGAGCTCTGCAATATTCACAACTGCAGTGGACTATGGGGCATTGCAGATTTTCTGTCTCCAGAAGGAGCAGAAGCCATAATAAAAGCAGAAGACTTAGAAGCCTGAAGTTCCTTGTTGTTTCTAACCTACACTGTAAGTGATCAGGTAAAGATACCTTTTTTAATGCTACAGAACAAAACATGCAGTGCTACTTGCAGTGAAGGAGCCCACATTTGACAGCCAGGGAGCAGGCTTTACCTCAGATTCCCGGAGATATATCCCTTTGCCATCTTGTGTTAAGTTGCGAAAGGCCTCTGGAAAAGAAATAAATAAAGAGCATTAACTTAATAGCCAAGAGATCAACACCAGCCAAGACACTCTGTCTCAGGAAAAACCTCAAAGGCAGAGTTTGTAGGCTATTCACAAGTGCATGTGTGCTTCTCCATTCTATCACTGGAAGATCCCTGAGGGCTGGGACATAGGGAGCAGCTGAATAAAGTCAGGCATGTTACTGTCTGTCCATCCAGTTGTGAAACCCCAAAATGCAGGCAGTCCCAATCTCACCCACTACAGTTTTGAGACACGTGCGAAGTGTCTACAGCATGAGCTCACAGGCTGAGTATCAGCTGTCTCATCATCACAACTGCAGTCCCACCAAAGGTATATTCCAAGGCTCTCTTCTTCCTGGAAAATGAGCAACCTCCATCTGTAATTTGCCTGCCTCCTCCTACAGAAGGCTGGTGCAAATCTGCAGGGAGCTAAATCACTCTGATATGTACAGCCTGGATGTCTGTAGAAAGCCACTGGTGGAAAGGTAAAGAGCTTGATTTCCTCTATATCTGTCCCTCGCTTTAAGTTGATTATTCTTGGTCTATTCAGAAACCCACTCTTAATTTTGACCTTGCAACTGCCAGCTGGAGCAGCATCAGAAGGGCCAGGGCTTAGCTGGACAGCCCAGCTTCCTGGCAAGTCCCGTAACGCCAGCCTCACCTCCCATGATCTCCACTCGAAGCATGAAGCACACAAAGCTCTCAAAGCTGATCTGTAAGTCAGGGTCACCATATCTGATTGCCATCAAATTACAGACTTTGTTGCTGAGTGAAATGCCTTCATAAAAAAGGGGGGGGGTGTGAGGAAAAAAAAAAAGGGGGGGAAAAGAGAATGAGATGGCAGCTCCCAGCTGTACACAGCTGAATGTGCACAGCTGTGGGTGTGCACACAGCTATAAGCATGCACAACTGAGTGGTCTTCAGCCCTTCTCCAACAGCGTGGTTTTTCAAACCTCCCCTAAGATAATCAAATCTTAGCCAGCCCAAATGAGACCACTACGTGGAGATATCTCCTGCAAACTTAAAAGCATTCAGATCTGACCCCTATACTCACAGTCCTGCCAGAGTTGGAATAAAATACACATAGGCATCCTTTGCTCATGGGGTATGAGGGTAATAACAGCAGCTGTGTTTAAGAGCAATACTCCACAAGAGGGTAGGAAAGGAGATGAAAAAGAAATTCCAGAGGAAGCTCATACAGAAACCATCAGTCCCAATGTCAAGCAGCATTTACAAGGAATAAAAGTATTTTCTATTCGTGGCCTGGGATTTTAGTTTGCTTTAGCAGAGGTACACCTGGGTTTCTCACTGTGCTTTCACTGACTCAGATGAACTGGGTGAACCACACACCAAAAAAGGAGGAGTGATATTTAAGCAGTAAATGTGCAAAAGAAGCTACAAGGCTGAGTACCAGCCCCCACTCAAAGCCCCCACTCAGTAACAGCAACAGAGCTTGGTCCAGTATTTGGACCCATATGTATCATCTTCCATTTTTAGATCAAGCTTCAGACATTGTATCTGTGAAGTCTGGCACCAGTATTGCCTCTGTGCAAGTCCCACATTTCCAGGTTCAGTCCCTGAGCTGTCGTCTTCAGCAGAGGTAGCAATTTAATATGAGCTAGACCTGGCCTCCTGCATGTATCCACACAACCCCACACAGTCTTTTAAAATTAAATTAGCAACTAACAGGAAGGGATTTAAAAACTGGGTCTAAAATAGACAGACACTTCTGGTTCAGAGAACTATCAGTATGAGACCACACTGGGGCAAAATTAAGTAGCCCACTCCACAGCAAAATAATTTTCAGATGTGTTTACCCAGCTAAAGAGCGAAACAGAGATTTTCCACTCCTGGGCTCTACCTACAACTCTCAAGATGCTTCCCAGCCCTGTGCTTTTTCCAGCCTTTATGAGGAAGAGGATGAGACTTGCCAAGATGCGCTGTGGGCTCACCTGTCTCCTGTACAGCTGCATGCAGTTCCACAAGGTCGAGCTTTCCTGATTTGCTAGCATCTCCTTTCTGGAAAACTTCCTGTGGGAGGTGGGAGTGAATATTTTTAAACAAAACAACCCCCCAAAAAACAACAGATGACACCAAAGGGATTGTGAGCAGGGAGATATTGTGAGGGGGCACAGAAATTATTGTTATACCAAATAGAAAAGCAGCCTTTTCCACAGGACTCTCAATTCCTGGATACTCAGTGTGCCAGAGGCATTCAGCTTCATGAGACAATTAAGGTCAGAACATCTCAATTAAATGTCAGAGAGCACCCATTACATAAAAAAACCCAAACAAACCAAAAACTCATAGCCACTTTAACAGTCACACAATTATAATATGAGGATAATGATTTCTTAGCCCACAAGCCTATATATAGGCTTGATCCTCCTCCCACTAAAGTCAATGGAAACCTGGCCGCTGATTTCAGAGGCGGTAGGAATCAACCCTTTCCCAAACCAATTCCATTCTGTCACAGCTGAACTGTTATTATGGAGGGTGAGAAGTTCAATAAGCAGGGCCATGTCCTGGTGGTAAAGAAATCACAGTAACACCCCGTTTGCCTGAAGAAATAATGCTTCAGTGAAGTATTATGAGTCAGAAGTATCACTCATGCTAAGGATACATCCAGGAGCGCCAAGATACCCTGGCAGGCATCCAAACTGAAACTCAGGTGAAAATTCTGGAAATCTGGAGGGGGGGGGGGGGGGGGAGAAAAAAAACCAAACCTGTTTTGAGGAGTCATTGAACATCTCTCAGAAAAATGGACTCACAAAATTCCCCCTCCCTTGATAGGGCTCAGGCCCCAAAGCCTTTGTGAAACTTTACACCCACTTGAGAAGACATATCATCTATGATGATAAAAATATGAGGCAACAGGATGGATTCTACTAGTCTCAGAAAATCCAATATGAGCTCCCCGCAGGCGTGTAATATGGAATGAAATACGGTGCACTATCTCCAGCTATTAAGAGAAAATGGAAGGAAAAGGACATCCAAAGCCGTAATCCCAAACAGAATTTACTGCATGACCTTGAGCAAAGTCACTTGACCTGAAGAGCTTTGGGGAGCAGCACTGCAGATTAATTGAAACCTTTGTGCTAAGCATCTCTCTCTCTTTCAAAGACACGCTGCCAGCTCTGTTAATATAATTAAAAGTACAGGCATCACTGAAAACATGATGCTGCATCAAAGCTTAGCATTCCTGGTTCATACATAAGTTACATGAAGAGTAACAGAAATAGACTCTAATCTCACTGCAAATCATGATTATACATTGTCTGTAGACTTCCACTGAGCAAGGGACAGAAGCATAACTCACCAATACCTTCTCTTCAGAAAGTGAAGATGTTTTAATCTTGTAATAGCCCTGTTTACTAAATATGAATCAAGTACAGTAATGTTTTTAAATTAATGTCTTAAAATTGATGACTTATGAAAAATAAAGACTCTCTGTTCAACATAGTCTTCTCACAGATAAAACAGTGCCTGGTGGGTCACTTTGCAAAGATAGAAGAGCTATCCTTGTGCACCTTTGTAGAAAAGGGAGCAATGTCAAATTCACCTTAAGTGGAAAAGGCATCATATCAGTCTTTTGTTCGTCATCTTTGTTGCCTATAATGGCCGGACGGTGTATTTTCTGTGTTGCACATCGGTTGTTACCAGCGAAGAAAGTGGCAAGAAAAACTGGATTCATCATTGTATCTGTAACTTCATTGTTGCTGTTCAAAGAAATCAGCCACTGCAATACCTTGCTGCTGTCCAGGTAGCATTATTTATAACTAGGGACCAAACTATGAACTTGTGGAGTGCTCTGGGCTGCCACTGGCAGAGTGGATGTCACAGTCCTCACTAGAGAGACAACCCCAGGGCTCACCTGGTTCTCACAAGCATAAGTTACACAGGCTACCTGCACCTCCTTCCTGTCTCCCAAACACAAACAACAAGGAACAGCCCTATGCATGCACAGCAGGGAAGAGTAAATAGGAATAGTGAGCATGAACCAGGCACATCAAGGTAAAGACAAGACCCCCTTCCACCACCTAACTGCCTGCAGACCAAGCTAACTTTCTACATCTTCTAGCAGTGGTGCTGCCAAGACTGTGTCAGTGGCACAGGGTGAAATGAGATACAGTTTCAGAGTCAAGGCTGAGGTCAAGCTGGGTTTGGAGGTCAAATTCAGAGTCTGCATCCACACACAATACCTATGCTTGCTCTTCCCCCTCATTCTTTCAGTTGTTGAAATTCAAACTAGATTAGCATCGCTTACAAAATTTCTACCATATTGATTCACACCCCAGCAAATCCTTTCTCTGGAAATCTAACATGGCATCAGAAGAGTCAGTTCAGTCAGATTCAAGCCAGTTTCTCTTCTCAGAATTCAAGAAACAGATACAGGAGCTGAGGCTTTTCTCTAAGAGGGTTTATTCTACAGAAATATTACTTCTCAGCACTTACTTCTCCAAGATATATTATTCAGGATCTTCTGGAGCTGAACAGCATTTATTTCAGGATTCTGTGATACGGAAGAGAATTTTTATTTATTTTTTTTAAATTATTAAATCACTTTTCTCCCTCTTATTTCCCCAGCATGTCCCATCTTCATTGTCTGCTTTTCTGGCCCCACTCCAGCCACTGTGAAAATCAATAGAAAAAACTCCCTTTGAATATGACAAGATTCTCAGCCTGCAAGAGCTGCAGTCTGCTCTGGGCTAAGTTCTCCGGGCTCCACACAGATCAATGCAGTAGTGCAGATTTACACTGAGTGAGGATCCAGACCGCCAACCTTTCAGCCCTGGTGCCATCTGTCCCATCAAGCACACTGTCAAGAGACCTGCTTCAAATATTTCCCTTTTATCATTTACAAACAAAAAAAGATGGAAACTTCGGAATACTTCCTCCCTAAACTTTTCAAAAGCAGAGACTTCCCCTCCTCCTTGTTACACTAAAGTTTAAAGGTTTTTTAGAAACTGTGACATTTGTTTGTTTGGAGGATTTTTTTAAATGTCACCCTTCAAAAATAAAAGCCTGTTTTCAGACCACTGAGGCTTGCCAAGGTAATGCATTAAGAAATGGTACTACTGCTCACCTCTGTGCATACTTGGACCTCCTGACAGCAAAGGACCAGCACCTCACAATATATGGCAATTTCTAGCACATCTGAAAGCCACACCATTCTCAAAATCAAAATCTTAAACAAGTGGCAAAAAGTAAAAGCATTGCTTGTTTTTAGTTACTCCTTCCATCAAAATATTGCTATCAAAAGTGCAAATGTGTTTTTGTGAAATTTTGTTTGTCAAATATAGTGTATACTGCTAAATAAATGTGGCTACCTTTTCTGAAAGGTGAAACACTTTCATCCCTCACCATAGTTAGTGGGATCCCTGAAGGTCAACTTGATCCCAAATCAGACCAGAGAGATCGTTAAAAAGAATCTTTCACTAGAAAAAAATAGTGAAAAAAGGTGACGGGACACCTGATACCTACTTTACCTCTCAAAACAAGTTAGCTGCCATCAAACTGTGATGAAGGATGTATGAGACAAGTGTCAATATTTCAGGGGGTATTCCCTAATAGGTGACTTTCTCCAATAAGCGTAAGAACACCATAAAGGGTAGGATGGATCCACACAGCCCACCACTTTTTCCCCCAATACAGGCAATAGGAATTAAAGTTTAGGGAGAGCATGTGAGCCTGGTCAGCTTCTGCAGTCCATTCTCCTGTTTTCCTGGCACCCACACCTGTTGGAAAATGGATCTTAGAGGGTACATAGCTGCCTAGTCCTTTAGTGTTCATTTACAGACCTGCTGCCCATCAGTTTGCTAATACCTTTTGAGCCTGTTGGTACTGTCACATCCACAACATCCTGTGGCATTAAGTTCCAGGCATTCACACCCCGTAGCATAGAGAAGTATGCCTATCTCAATGCTAACACATTGCTAAGCTTTGCGGTCAAATCTGCTGCATGGAATCAGCACTGTACGCACAGCCCAACCTCCTGTGGCCCCTCTCTGCTCCCCACACTTCCACATCCAGACCTCCCTTGAATGTCCATATGCTTTAACTTTCACAGAGCTACATAATAGCTCTGGAGGAGTTTACTCTGGCAGCTCATGCACACGCTTACCTGTTCAAAATGCTTTGTGAAGAAATCCTCCCAAATCTTGCCTTCATATCTATCAACAATTTCCTTTAAGATATTTAAATGAATAAATAAATAAATAAATCATTAACTCAAGGAAGAAAAATGTCACCATCCAAGACAGAGTTAGTAAAGATGCTTTCCCAGAACAGCACTCTCATCCCCTGCCCTTCCACCTTCTCCCCACCACTGCAATCAATGCTATATCACTAACACAGCCCACTGCTAAGATAGCTCTCCACCTCATAGAAATGCTGTTGCTTGGAAAGAAATACTCATATAACACTCAGTGAGAAGAAACATCCCCCCCCCCCCCCCCGCAAAAGG